TCCTGCCCGCGGCCCCTCGCACTCCGTCTCTCCGCGCCTCGCCAGCAAACCGCTGCTGCTCTCAGAACCTGCGGCGCCGCCTGTCCTCGCACCCGCCCTCGGCCTTCTTCCGAGTGGCCTCCGCCGTGAACGCCTTTCCTGCCGACCGGCCCCGACCAAGTCCATCGCCGCCTCTGGGTCTCCGCTGGGCCCCAACGTCCATTGGAGCCCTTCACCGAATCTGCCACACACACCCCCAGCCCTGGAGGGCAAGGCTGGGCTTTATCTTGACGAGCACAGTGTAAGTGCACAAGATGAGCTTGTTGAAAGAATGGGGGCTTCCCGATTCCCCTTCCAGACCAACGTGCGAGTGAAAAGCGGGTGGATTACGCCAGCGAGGAGCAGGGTTAGGAAAAGGGCAACTTCTGTGGCGGGAGCGGGCGAGCCATCCAACGTGAGTGTTAAGAGAGAGAACACCAATGTCTACGAACACGTGAACATTTTGTTACTGGAGTCCTAGATACTTTTTTATAAGTTCCACATAATTCGTTTTTTAATCTTCAGTTTTTCGCTACCATTATCCCCATTCCACGCCCTCCCTCTCCCCCCACACACACTATGTTCTTCTGGCCCTGGGTCTTAAGTTTTTCTTTTTTAAACAATGCATTTTTATTGATTTCAGAGAGGGAGAGAGAAATAAAAACATCAATGATGCCGAAACCGGTTTGGCTCAGTGGATAGAGCGTCGGCCTGCGGACTGAGAGGTCCCGGGTTCGATTCCAGTCAAGGGCATGTACCTTGGTTGCAGGCACATCTCAGTGGGGGGTGTGCAGGAGGCAGCTGGTCGATGTTTCTCTCTCATCGATGTTTCTAACTATCCCTCTCCCTTCCTCTCTGTAAAAAATCAATAAAATATATATATTTTTTAAAAACATTGATAAAATAATCCTATATAATAAAAGGGTAATATGTAAATTGACCGAACAGCAGGAACGACTGGTCGCTATGATGCACACTGACCACCAGGGGGCAGATGCTCAATGCAGGAGCTGCCCCCTGGTGGTCAGTGCACTCCCACAAGGAGAGCACCACTCAGGCACAAGCGAGGCTGATGGCTGGCGAGGGTAGCTGCCGGCCTCCACAGCAGTGCTAAGGATGTCCAACTGACAGGCCGGCTCCAGGGAGTGGGCTTAAGCCATCAATCAGACATCCCCCGAGGGCTCTCGGACTGCAAAAGGGACCCCTCCCCCCAAGTTCATGAATGTCATGCACTGGGCCTCTAGTGATTGATAAATTGATTAATAAATCAACAACAACATGATATTACAACAACAAAGACATGATATAAAAACAACATTGATAAAAACAATGACTGAGAAATTGATTAAACAATAGTTGGTCTTCAAATACATTCTGTCAACAATGCCCGCTTCTTTCGGCTTCAGAGATATGTTGTGCCAATAGTTGGTTTTTAGATACATTCTGGCATCGAGTGCGATTGGCGCTGCACGCAATTGGTGCCAGCGAGAGCTTTATATGTATCGTGCATGCGAGAGTCAATGTTTATTTTTAAATTGCCAGTGCACATCATATGTACGGGCTGGTCGGTCGGACAAACCAACAGTCAGTCACTTAGCCTTTTATATAGATAGATAGATGGTTTGTAAAGTGAACAGTCATTTCAGTCTGAACACTTTATTTTTCTAATACTTTTTTCGGGTTTGATTCCCAGGTCAGGCACACATACAAGAATCAACCAAGGAATGCATAAATGGGTGGAACAACAATTTGATATCTCTCTCTCTCTCTCGCTCTCTCTCCCCCTCCCTCTGTCTCTAAAATCAATAAATAGCCCTAACCGGTTTGGCTCAGCAGAAAAAGTGTTGACCTGGAGACTGAAGGGTCCCCCAGTTTCAATTCCAGTCAAGGGCACGTACCTCAGTTGCAGGCTTGATACCCAAGCCTGGTTGTGGCATGTGTGAAGGCAACCAATCAATGTGTCTCTCTTACATCTATGTTTCTTTCTCTCTCCTCCTCCCACTCACTCTAAAAATCAATGGAAAAATATCCTCAGATGAGGATTAACAAAAAGTTTAATAAAAACATTTTTAAAAATAAAATCAATAAATAAATTTTTAAAATAAAAAAACATTTCAGTGGCCCCAATTGTATTACAGAATCCAATCCTGCTCCAGATCTTATCTGCATAAACACACAGATAATGTATTGGATACTTGTAATCATGCATACCGTGTCCCAGACTCCTAGCAGTCTCTCAATATAGCTCCTGTCTCATTCTTCATTAATATTTACTAAGTGCGCACAACAGCTCAGAACTGGAGAGCAGGAGTTAAAAATACACCCTCTTCGGGACATGTGAGACAGCTTCTGCCTGTCCCATGCTGGTCGTTAAAGTCGGTTCCACCAACACCATCCAATTACTGGTTCTCAGTTCAAGTGGGAAGATGTTGATGCCAACAAACAGCTCTCAGGATGTAGACCAGCCCCAATGCTGGCAGCCACATGCATAATAAATACACAAGTTTTAATACCAAACATTTACTTAACAAAAATTTATTTGATGCCTTCTTTGAGGCAGGCACTCTGCCAAGCCTTGGGGATACAGTGAGATTCCATCCCAGCCCTAAAGGAACTCGAAAGCTGTTTCCTTTACTATAAATCAGAGAGGAAAGCTGGTGTCTGGGAGATTTATTTCCTCAGTTCTTCCCCTGAGAGTTAAGGACATGCAATGCCAATTGTCAACACAAAAATCAACCTGCCAGCATTGATAAGGGGTGCAGGTTACAGACATTGTACCTGACTGTGAAATGGAGGGCGAAAGGAAGGGATTCTCATACTCGCTGAAATCCCTTCCCAGGAGAATCTGTGGAAATTATGTACCAGTGGGAGCCAAAATCAACGACCGAAACCTGTTCCATAAACATGACCTATCTAATCTGTAGGTAGAAGTGGGACAAAAGAGTGTTTCTGAAAGTTCAGCTTTGGAGCACTGGCAGGTTGCAGGCTGATGGTTATTGGGTTTTAGATCCAATCTCCCAGGTTTGCCAAACCTGTGGAGCAAGTCTTTAGTGGGACTGACAACTGGCTTTCAGGCTGGGTCACTTAGCTCCCAGACTGTCTATCTCAAAACAAGCTGGTCTGGCTATTTTTATTCCTCAAGCTCATGTATGAGTTCAGAATACAACTTTGAATGCTTGCAGATCTGTCCATTGATAGCTTAGGAGAAGCAGGTTCTTAGAACCCGACAAAGAGTAAAGTGGACCGCCTCCCTGGCATCTCAATGTGCCTTAGGGCTCTGATCTCATTGCCAAACTGGTATCTAAGCACACACCTGAATTTGTTTCCTGGGGAAGCATCTGCTGCGTGTTCCCAGTTACTCACACATTCCTGAGCAGTTGTACATCAGTTCCCAGCATTACAGTCATTTTGGTCTGATTACTAAATGGGGCACAGGATGTCAATGCTAACCTCCCACACTTCCTGTGACTCTGACCCAGGAGCTCTCAATCTCCCAGTCCTTTAAAAGATTCTGATGCATGGATTCCCACCCCAGATCAGAATCTTGGAGGAAAGGTGCTTGGGTGTTCCAATTGCAGCTCAAGAGTAGCATACCCGGCTGGTGTGGCTCAGTGGTTGAGCATAGACCTATGAGTCAGGAGGTCACAGTTCAATTCCCGGTAGCAGCACATGCCCAGGTTGCAGGCTCCATCCCCAGTATGGGACGTGCAGGAGGCAGCCTATCAATGATTCTCTCTCATCATTGATGTTTCTATCTCTCCCTCTCCCTTCCTCTCTGAAATCAATAAAAATATATATATTTTAAAAAGTAGCAGAATATGCCTCTTCAAAATATGCCACTTTGGTGTAAGGATAATTTTGAGCTAAAGGCACTTGAGAAACACCAAGTATAAGAAAAGCACTCGGATCCCCCTCCTCCTCTTTTCTTCCCGAAAACAGAAGAGAGGGAAAGATGTCTTCCCTATATCAGAAGGAAAGAAGCACTCTTATACCCAGGGAATTTTGTACAAACAGACCTTTTATATCAATTTAATTCCCAGACCCAGCTGAGGACCCTATGAGGATAGAGATAGTTTTGCTTCCCCTACACGGCTGATTGAGAACTACTGCTCTAAGTTTTTCTAAGGGTGTCTATATGAAGGGGGCACACTCTGTCCTCTGTAATCTTCAAAGGTTACCTTGCCAAACAAACAGTGGGAAAAAAGTAAGAAACTATCTTCTGAATACCCAGA